AACACAAGCCTGGCTTAAAACAAAGAAGAAACACCTCTTTGCAGGTCATGCAGCTCAGACACTGCAACTGCACACACTCAGCCACAAACAAGTGCATGTGTTTGCAAGGTACAGCGTGCGATCCCTCTCAGTGATTTTCTCCTCTGGAATTGGATTGATTAAAACAGCAGGGGGAAGATTTTATTTTTTTAAAAAGGAAACAAACTCGCTCCAGGGCAACGTTTCTTTTGTGAGGCAGATGGAATGTCAGTGCCTGAAGCCTCCACAGTGGTTGAAGAACCGACAGATGGTGAGAAAACAGTAAAATAGGTGGAGGGTGGTGATAGTCAGATGCTTTTGGCTTTGCCGGAGGTGGAGGGCTTAACAGGCAGTCACCAAATGATTTGAAAATACAGTTTAGTGAGAGAGAAAATAGGGGTGATTGATGTTCCAAGAAACATCAGGTGCTATGAAAAAGTCAGGAGATGAAGTCCTTAGACTTAATGTGATGATAGGAGCTGTATAAAGAGCTGAGATATATTACTAAAGAGCTAGTGATCTTCCTGAATGGACCCCACAGGATCTTTGCCTGCTGTGTAGCCAGAGAGATTTATACTCATCACTTCTGGAGTTTGCCAAAGACAAACATTTCTATCCCACAAAATGAAAGAGAGTCAGGTGAGGTTCAAAACAGAAGGAATTTATAGAAAAGAATGCGATAAAAGACAGGGGAAAAGACAGCAAACGTCCCATCCCAGAACATCCAGGCTGCAAGAGGTTTCTTGGAAAATGATCACATGGATAGACAAGGGACATCAGACTGACAGAATACAGTGGTGATGCATCAGTGTCAGCATAGCTGGATACATTTGTCCTAAATGTAGCCTGTAGGAAGGGACTTGTTTTCCTTTCAGAATTAGCAGGAGGCTTTGGGTAAATGCATGAACAAGGCAATAATTTGTGCCTAAATCCATGTGATGCCCAGGAATAAACATAAACTTACACAATATGTAGCCATTCGTGAGCACATGTAAAGGCAAGTAGGCAGATGTGTATAGGTGCACACACTTAAGGCAAGCGAGCACATGCAGGCATACAAGTATGTGTTGTGTATGCATAGTTGTATGCGCATACACAACTGTTTCAAAGACATCCCAGTGTGTAACGGAAACAAAACAAAAGTTGTCTCTGCACCTACTGGGCCAAGGGCTCAGCTGGTGCAAATCCACTGACTTATGTCTTCAGAGGGTCTAGCCCATTGATTTGGGATAAAGCAGAAAACCACAGGCACTGGCAGCATCTCACATTCCTGCTGGCTGCATTGTCTGGTTTATGGCAGACGCTCACCCCAGCGGTCCCTTCTCTTCACCAGTTTGCATCCTTCGTGAGCACGCCTGTGAATAAGCAGGTCTGGAGTAGAAGAGGCAGCTGGCCAGGCCTGTGCCAATTAGAAGCAGCAGCAAGCAGGTTTCCACCACTTGAATCCTCAAGAGACTTCAAGTATTGTTATCATTTTGGTCACGCAGTGCTATCTTCAACAATGAGCGTGTTCCTTGAAGAATCAGAATGCACTTCCAATCTGTCATTATGTATCCATGGCTAGGCAAGGGTGCAGGTTTAATTCGTACACACGCGCATATCTCCTCTCAGCTCCTAGTCCATGGGTTGCTTCCTGCACACATTAGTTTATGATAGTTGCTGTTTAGCAGATGGGGCTTGAAGCCTGTCGCTGTAAGTGAATTGGGCAGTCCACAGCCTGCAACCTGCCTTTTACCCAGCAGCCCTGCATTCTAACAGGAACTGTCATAGCGGGGAGAATAATGAGGTGAGGTGAGGTGATGTTGTTATGGGGAGGACAGGTTGGATAATGAGCCCCGGGTGGAGCAGAGAGGGTGGTTCTGGCAAGCCAGGGGAATGGAGGTAGAATCATTCAATAGACAGCAATGTGGTAATGAGGCTGGAGTGCTTTTACTTTAAAGTGCTTGCAGAGTGCAGTCTTCTGCCTGCTGTGCAAGAGGCAGGTAAGGGGTTGGAGTTATTTAACTGAACTAAATAACAAGGAAGTCATGTCAAGCACAACAGCCTGTTTTCGCAGAACAATGGTCCCCTGTTGCTGCATAAACACTGAGGGCCAGGCTAGCTGTGTGTTTTTCAAGCAAGAGACAGTCTCCCCAGTGCCTGCTGCAGACTCAAACACTTCCATTAGAGCTGTTAGGGCAGGAGATCTACCATTGTCATAGGGATGTAATTGACCTGCTACGTTCGGATTGGCTCGGGCTATTCACAGAACAGCTTCTCTGAGCCCAGGGTCTCATATAAAGTGAGTTAATCCCTGAATAGCAGGAGTTCGGTTGATAACCAAGTGAATAATGAATGGTGACTATACCTGTATAATCTGCAAAATTCATCTCCCATCAAAGATGATCTTAATGGAGAAGGAGATCGTGTCTGTCAGTTCATTTAGCCCAGTAGCTACCCCACATCTGTCTGGCAATGTAGGCAGAACATTCATGCATGTGTGTACCCATGACCTAACATCAGCCCCTGGGTGGGAAAACCTGTAGTTGGACACCTACCATCTCTAAGTCTCTACTGGCTGACACAATGGAGGGAGAATGAGCTACCAGCTAGGCACAGGGGACTGGCATCACAAGTGTTTGGGTCTGTGCCTGGCTCTGCCACTGATTTACCATATGATCTTGGGCAAGTCTCTGCATCAGCTGCACCATCTGTAAATATGGGACGATGATAATGGGTGCCTCACTCTGACAGGTTATGAATCTTAATCCCTGAGGGCTCATCTGCACTGCCTCTGAGCTGTACCTGGAAGCACTGGTGTGAAGGAGTCTGCTCCCACTGATTCCCACTCTGCACATGCCATATCCCAGAAATGGGGCAACATATGACCTCAGGGGGTCCCTAAGAGTGCCCTAATAAGCATACTCAAGGCAGAGCCCATGAGCAGCAGCACTGGGGACACTCATAAGGCTGCTCCAAGGGAATTGTAGTCCTTTCGAGCTGATGGGGTGGGCCTTACAGGGGGGCGGGGCAGGTTGCTTCTCAGTAGTGGACCCGGGCACAGCCTGGAGATAAAGCCCATAGTGCCTGTACAGGGGTTAGGATCCTGGAGTGGGAAGTGCTTTAGGAAAGCAATGCACAGTGCTAGAAGTCTCAATATCATGGTGCAAGCATGTAACAGAGAATCTCCAAGCAGCAGCCTTATAAACAAACGGCTGCTGTGATGGGACTGCAACTTCCCTCTGCCTCAAATATGCCATGGGGAGGTAAGAGGCCAAAGGAAATTCATCCCCAGTTGGGATTCAGCATAGTCCATGACATGTCCATGGGCATTACAAACAAGCCAGTGTTGAATAGAGGCTGTGGAAACAGTGAGTACATGTCAGGGTGCTGACTTGTAAGGCTGCATAAGTGCATCTCAGTCACAAGCTATATCTAAGCAGGAGAGGCAGCTAAGTGGGCCCAATTTGTGACAACATAGGGGTGTTTGGATGTGGCAGCAGGCTGTGTGACCTCTGCTGTAACTAGTTTCAATGTGGGCATTTGGTTCCGCCTACTGTGCAGATACCACTTGTTCAGATCTGCGTCAACTTCCTGTTGCCAGTGCATCCCAGGGTGTGTTGATGGCTTGATGCTCTGGGATGTGAAACCTTAGTTAATACAATGTCAGGCTGGGAGAGCTGTCAGGTTTATAATTCCTGTTTGCTCAGTGTGGAAAGTGGTTTTTCCTTTTCACTTGCATGTTGCTTATTGTTTTTTTTTCCCCCCTTTAGAGCGAGTTTTACCCACACTCCCCAACCCTTTTCCAGGTCAGTATATGTTTTATATCAAAGTAGCTCTTTAGCCGGGTCATTCTCCATCATCTTCAACAAATGCTGAGAGCTAAGGGTGAGCAAAAAAGTCCAAAGCGAAAATAACATCAAGGTGTCATCTTTTCCATGACATGGGTATTGACCCTTTGCCCCCCCACCCCAAATCGTTGCCAAAATCCAAGCCTGAGCCTGAGACTGTGTGTCTGAGCTGAGACTCAGAGAAGTCTCCATGTGTTAAGTGCTGTTCAAATTGTCTTCAGGTCCATCTCTATATATTCCGCCCAAAATGATACATGGCAAACTACTTGAAAATGGCTCTTCTTTGGATGTTCCTTGTCTGAGTAGAAGCAGCAGGGTACCTGAAATCTTGCAAGGGGAAAATAAATTCAAAACTACTACTATGAGGAATCCAGAACAGGTTGGGCAAATAAGTGGGAACAGGGAAGCATGCAAACTTAGGAGTGCTTACCCACAACAGATCTTTTCCCTGGCTCATCTGTCACCAATGAAAGCAACTTCTGCTGTTTATATGGCAGGTCATCTGGCTCACTAATCATTAAAGGAATCATAGTTAGTTGTTAAAGCACAAAAGATGGTGAGAGACCTTGACTGACCAAGTCCACAGGGAAAGAGTCTAAAAGTATAGTAAAGGAAATCTGGAGACCTTGGTAGTAGTTACATCTCTGTCATGCACGTGGTAAGTCTTCAGTCAAATCAGCATGGCAGAGATGTTCAAAAGTTTGTCCAGGTTTTCAGCGTATCTCTTCCTGGCACAATGCAGGTCTGTATGTACCTGGGCTAGCTCTGAACA